AATAATAATAATAATAATAATAATAATAATAATAATAATAATAATAATAATAATAATAATAATAACCATTATCATCATCTGCCAAAGTAGCAAAGCATGGAAGCAAGGCCCAGACCAAACTAGGAGTGTTCATTACACTCAGCTAGTGATGAGACAAATCTGACTTTGAATAAAAGTAAATGAATTGGAATGGGTGAAGAAGGGAAGGGGAAGGGAGGGAAAGGAAGGGAAGGGGAAAGTAGGGGAGAGGTGGGAAGAGAAAGGGATACTTCAGATTCGATGTCCCACTTCTGCTGGAAGCCACAATACTTCTAGATTTATATTTAGGACTCTGATCTCAATGCTCCCCATTTCTTTCTCCTTCCCATCATGCCCTCATTGTTTCAACTTCTAAACTAAGCTTATGAAGCATCCCTTGCCAATAATAATAATAATAATAATAATAATAATAATAATAAAAATTGTAGCCACTTTAAATTTTATCCTAATCAAAGGTGACCAATAGCTTACCTTTTTCTTGCATGCTTTCCCATCGTTCCAGGAGGAACTGCTGGAATATTCACTGCAGGCACTAGACAAGGAGAGTTCACTGCTGCTGCAACTGCTTCGAGGATAAACTTGGTGAGGTCCAATCCCATTTAACTGATTCTGGCATTTCAAGGCAGGAATTCCAGATTTCATATTCTGCTGGCATTCCTAAAGCAACAAAGCAGATGACATTATTTGGTGGGATGAAAAAAGAGACAGAGAGAGAGTGACAGCGTCTTTCTGAATAAGATGACAAATCAACAGCCTATTTGTATTCATACCAGTACAGATACAGTCTAACTATTGAAGGAATATTAAAGCCACCAGGCTCATATTTCATCCTTATTACAAGATTAACATTTCTCAATATTTGATTGTTTTAAAAATTTATTTCTTTAAATTATGCACGCCCTATCCAAGGTAGTTTTTCAGTGACAGTCTGCTTGAAATATGCAATGTTTATTAGCAATGTGCTCTAGAAAGATACTGGAGCTTAAGTTAAAGCAGTACAAGAACATCTTGACAACTGCATTATAGCCCCACAATGTAACAGATGAGGCCCTAGAAAACTGGGCAAGGTAAATTAATTTAGTGCCCCAACTAGAATGTCCACGGAGAATGGGATCTCTCCATTATAGTCTAATTTTGATTTCCTATCTAGTTTAAAGCTTTGTCTAAGAAAGTTTCCAGCGTAGGACAATCCATCTTTGTGTCACTGTCCGACAGCTAAAACCTCCAGCTTATGCTATTTATTGACACTTTATGGCTTCCTTTACTACTTGTGTAGTTATCAGCCTTTTCCAAATGCAATCTCAGCTTCTGTGACTAAACACCAGTTTCAAGGAACAGAATAATAAAGAAAGAAGCAGCGCTGAAGTTGGTAGATATGTTTTAATTTTGTTTCAGATGAACCTTTTATTTCCTACAAAGATCAGAGTGTCCTGCATGCTCAGAAATCTTGCACATAACCTGTTATAAAGCCTCTTTATGAAATGAATCACAGACAGTTGTGTAGCTTGTTTATTTACAATGTTTGTAAACTACCCCAACAGAAATGATAATGAATACAAAATGAATAACATATTTGTATATCCTTGGCATTTTGCACCAAGTCTCAGAAATCTCAAAAACATTTTTCTCACATTCATGAGCATTGCAAGGATATGTGCCTACATTGCTTTACATCACTTGGAATAGATAAAAATAATCTACTTTGATATCCATGCAAAATGTATGTGAAAACAGGATTTCCAAGTTCATTATACAAGATAAAATGTCTCCTAACATGGGTTTCAATCTAATAATTATTGATCAAGTACTGTAGCTGCTTGCCCTTCTGCCAGAGGTCCCTCTGGTTCTAAGCCTCAAGAGCACTGCATCCTGCTCATTATAGTCCACATTCTTAAAAGTACAGAAGAAAATATCCCAGTGTAAATTTGGATTTACTCATCCTACAGATAACAATCAATCTTATACTCGTTTGCCCTCCAAGATCACAGAAGTTGTTTTTGAGACATTATAGGATGCTTATGTCCAACTATGGCCTGCAGTATTTATTATAGACAAAAATGATATATTTCAGAATATTATTGTCTCTGGTGATCATAACTGGACTATTTTGCTGTGATGTGCAAAATGGGTCAGGAAAAAAAAAAAGAAATAAACACAACAAATGTCTCTCAGTCAAAAAAGGATTTGTTAATACTGTTCCGACATAATCTGGGTGGCCAAATCTTGGGAAGGCCACCGAATATTAGTGAACTCATGAAATGTGAATCTAATTTTCATTGAAACATTTAACTTCTTTCTGAGCTGTAGCACTTCTAGAGGAATGAAATCATTACAAGACTGAATTTGCTTTATAAAAAAACTGGGATTTCTATTTTTTTTAACATGGGTGAATTTACTCCTGTCTTTGAAAGAGCTTCTGATTTTCTTCCATCTAAGCTGTATCAACAAAGTGATGTCAGGGCACCCTTACTCTACAGTGACAAATTGTCATGAATTGTGACTGTGATACATCAGAACATCCATCCATCCATTCTAAATAATAACAGGTGAGATCTAAAATGAATGTTTTCTGTAACAATCTTTTTCAATATAGCAATAGGAATAGCACTTAGACTTATATACTGCCACACAATGCTTTACAGCGTTCTCTGGGTGGTTGAAAATGTTAGCATTTTGCCCCCAACAATCTGGGTTCTCGTTTTACTGATCTTGGAGGGATGGAAGGTTGAGTCAACCTTGAGATGGTCAGGATTGAACTCCTGGCAGTGGGAATGCAGAGTTAAGTCTGTAATACTGCATTCTAACCACTACAGCATCTCAGCTCTAATGTATTATTACATAATGTGTACTAATTGTCCTTGAGGCTTCATCTGGGCTTACTACTGTGATGAGAATGGGCAAACATATGAAGGAATATTTTTTTTACTTGCTTTGTTGCAGAACAGTTTCCCCTGTTATGAATATTCTATTTTTAATATAGTTTTATTTTAATGATTTTTAAAAAGAACGATAAAAAACTAATACAGATTAATAGTAAAAGAAAAAGTTAAAAGCATGGAAGGAGAAAAAGGTAAAAGAAAAATAGAAGAGAAAATCAAACATAGAAATAAGTACCTTCTGATATTCTTTACAGCAGTTATAAGTACAATTATAAATGTACTGTACTTCTCAATCTGTGATTACAATATAACTCTCTTCTTTCTATAACCTAAACTGTCCAATCATCAAAACCATCAGGCATAAGTAATGCTTGACAGTTTTGATGATTTTATGCAAAAAGTCCACAAAGGACTTCCAGTCAGAAATAAACATATTGTCAAAAAAGTCATTTTAGCAAATTCTATTAACTCCATCCTTCTATTAATTAATTCTATTAATTCCATCATCTTCATCAACCATTCCCCCACTGTGGGTAGTGCTAAAACATGTCATCTTGGTGTGTACAATAATCTATTGCAATTATCATATACAAAACATGATTTTTTCCCCAACTGTTTGTCTATCAATCCAAAAAGAAAAATGTCTGGTCTGAATTGTATATTGAACTTTAAAATTTTCTGAATTAGTGTATTTGAATGCAAAATTTTCTACTTTTCTCTTAGGTGGCCAGACATAATTATATGTCCATTTTTGTTCACATTTCCAATTCGAAATGCCTTTATACATTCTAGACCAGCGGCCCTCAACCTTTTGGGCACCATGAACTGGTTCCATGGAGATAAGTTTTTCCGTGGACCAAAGGGGGCATGGTTTCCTGTGCTGCCTATAGATGGGGCTTTGTTGCGCAGCCCCATTTCTGGCATGCCATGGCCTGCTGCTGGTCCATGGCCCAGGGGTTGGGGACCCCTGTTCTAGACAATTTCACTGCTGATATACCAGCAATGTATATTTTTAAAAAAAAATCTTTTTAAAAGTACAAATTTCACTTCTTTCAACCTCATCTTCTCTCATTATTCCATCTGTATATTATAACTAATGTTTTTAGCCAGCATTATCATACATTCTTCCACTTGTTTCTCTTCTGTTTAAAATTTCAGTAAAAGTTTATACATTTTAGCTGTTCTTCATTTGTACACAATTGGAATTTCTTTAACAACAATGACATCCATATTATCAATCTTCAGTCTTATCTAAAAATGCTACTGCAAACCTGCCTTCTTCCCGACAGTGTGCCAAATCATCCCTTGAAACATTTCCTATTTGTGCAAATATTGTATTTATTCTACATGCTTTATCAGTATCTGCCTTTTTAACTACTAATCCCAACCCCCCAAAATTGATAATTTAATAACCTTTTCTCTAATATTTTCACTGGAATCTGAGATTGCTCTAAATCTTAAACAAAATTCCTTCTCTCTCAATTCTAATACAGCCAGAAAGTTCTTTTTCAAAATTTCTGTCTATAACTTTTGTTTTATTCTCCAAAATTTCCACATTGTCATTATTTGTTTTACATCTCCAGACACTTATTTTACACTTATTTTCCATCTTCTTAACTTCTTTCATCTCCTTTTGTATCTTTCAAGTCTTTTATCTATTCTTTTTTCAAAAGATATAAATTTAGTATTAACTGATTCAGCTAACTTACTGCTCAATTGTTCAAATATTTTCTTAAGCAAATCTGATGTAATTCCTCTCCATTGTAATTGCTCTAGTGATCCTCTTGCCCACTCTACTTTTTTTTTTCTGTTTTCTGGTTGTTGTCATTACGATATTGTAATCCAAAAATGAAAGTGTCTCATATAAGAAAAAAAAACATCCCTTCTTTCTTCCACCTATTTTGTCTTCTTGTGCCCTTTATGACTCAAATGGCACTCTGTGGTTATAGTCACAATCACAGTTGGCCTCTCTGTAGTTACAGTTAGTATCACAGTCTATGTGATACTAACTGTTTTATGTTTTATTTTGTAAAATCCACCCATTGTCTATACTCTTCAATAATAAAAAAAAAACATTTCCACAAAGATCTGGTTAATTTAAACACACTTGCACAAAGATCTGGTTAACTTAAACACATTTCCACAAAGATCTGGTTCATTTGTCTATTTTAATTCCAATTTTTTCAAAAACACTGAATAGTAGTCTTTCAAAATAAGTATCCCTTTTACTAGTTGTGTACTTATATCTTTCTTATAGCTACTTCCTATTAAGATTTTGCCAAAAGTTATTAAATGTTTAAAAGCTTTTTTCCTTTTGTAATCCAGAAAAAATGTTGACTCACCAGGTTGAATTTTCTTATTTTCTCTTTACCTATACATTAATTACATTCTGAAAGTGTTTAAAGAAAAGACGCTCACATGAACCATGTGTTCATATAGTCCAGTGGTAGCTAATCTTTTTGGGGTCGTGCCAAAAAATTGCGTGAACATTAGTATGCACACACTTGTGTGCCAGCACCCAGAATGCAATGCGCACCCTCCCACACCTCCTGCACATGCACGTGCAATCCCCACCACTACTCCCTTACCTGCACTGCATTTCACAGCTGGTTTGAGGCATTTTTCGGCCTCCCAAAGGCTTGGAAAAAGCCTGCAAGGCTTTTCAGGCCGAATAATATGCCCATTTCATCACTTCCGATATTACAGGAAGTGACGAAATGGGCGTATTCACCCTGAAAAGCCTTGCAGAGGCTTTTTCCAAGCCTCTGGGAGGCTGAA